CCATCCTTGTTTAGGTTCCGAAGGAGGTCGTTTGGGACCTTTGCCCGGTTGATGAGGGAACGAGGTCTCAAGACTGGCTACGAAGCGCCTGCCTCTCTCAGCACCAGGCTGAGAAGCGTTCCTGTGCCGCCTGCCAGGCACCAAGGCTTCTCCCAAACCCTGGGCATGGCGGGGCGCCATTGACAGGCTGCAAGGGTCTGCAGGAGCCCTTGCCCCCTCAGATCACTTCCTGTCCACAAGGGGCTTGCAGGGGAAAAAAGACGCCAGGTGGACTGGCTGGTTTTGGAAGGGGGACTCTGAACTAGCTGGATGTTCTTCCACATCTCCCCTTCTTCCCCCGGTCAGGACCCAGGAGGCACAGAGAGACCTTGAGGAGCAGGAGAGCTCTCATGATGGGGATGCCTCTTGTACCTCAGGGGTAAGAAAGGTTTGGCAACATGGCTGATGGGACTTCATGCCTCAAGTCCAGGGAGGTGGTTCCTCGGTCCTTTAGACATCCCATCCCCCTGGCCTGCCATCTGGAAAGGGCATCCGAGCTGCCAGAAGTGAGGTCGCAGCTGGTGGAGGGACATCCAGTGACGAAAGGGTGATCGAGGAAGGGGCTGAGTGCCTAAGCGTCCCTCTTTTCCTGACCCCGTCGGAAGCAAAAGGAGAGAGGGATGCGTCTTCCCAATACCTGAAGAGTCTTTGGGAAAGGGTTGCCAAACGCCTGACCTTGAGCATAGCCTGTTTTGAGAACGGCTGCTCCTTATTCTGGAAGCAATGTCCCCTTAACGTTAAGGCTTCTGAAGGCGCTCTTGCTAGGGGGCTGAACCTTGTGCCCTAGGCCTTAGCCATCCTACTGGGATACAGAGAGGTTTGGATTTATGTCTTAACACGAATACATGTCATTTGCAGGATTCAGTGGAAGCCCAGGGATGTGGAGATCATTCCCGATTGGGCAAGGTATCTGCTCACATCTGAGGGATTCTGCAGCCCCCAGGAAGATGGCTGTAGTACCGTCTCGGATTAAAAAAGGCATGAGAAACGTCTGCAGAGATAGATTTCTGTTGGATGCATGCTCAGCCCCCTGGACAGGAAGCTTTTCTCTTCAATGGGATGGGGGGCCATTTGGGGCCAAAGGGGGACCAGATGATGAAGGCCGCTGAGCATGGAGTGCATGCTTAAAGCACAGTAAGGTAAGCAAGCTTCCGACAAGGTAAAATGACACAGCACAAAAGGAAAAGGGAGAGGTGGGAAAAGGAAAACAAAATTCCTTCATCCAATCCTCCAGCCCAGCCAGTCGCAAGGGTACTGCTTGGCTGATTGTGGAGAGTCCTAAGCCTGTGAGTCGTCTTCTTAGGGAGATTCACCTCTTTTCCTTCTCCACCCTGCTTCTGACAAAAGGGAGAAAACACAGGTCAAGGCCCTTGGGCGGCCAGCTGACGCGCTTCCTAGAGGATGCGTGTAGCCACTCTTGTAAGAGGACCCGTGCCTAGTTTTGACTTTTGGGCCTTTTAATCTCTCCCCAGTTCTCAGGAAACGGAGCTGCAGAGGCAGGGGCTCCACACGATAGAGGAGGTCTCCATTCGTTGGGTAAGTCGTGAGCAGCTGGGAAGGGCCCTTTGCCGCTTACTGGCGGCCTAAATGGACGTGACCCTTTACCCACGCCTTTCCTTTTTCGGCTTCATCCTCTCCGCCGCCCTGCTGCTTCCAGGCAGGGCATTAAGAGGCAAAGAGTGGAAAGCCTACTTTCCTGGGGAATGGGTGGGGGAGGGATGGGGGTTCCTTTAGCTCAGGGGATGCA